TGTCTCAGGCCCAGGTTGGCCTGACTCTATCTGAGCACTTTGGGCTACTATGTATTGCTGGGGATCGCGCTTGACCCCCTCATGGGTGTGGTGGTGGGGTCTGGTTTGGGAGTCTGGAGCTTTGTTCCTCACCCCTGCCAAGGCTTACTCAGCCACAAGGCTTTTTTCTTCTTAGCACCCGAGAGGCTCCTAACACTTCACAGACTTCATGACCCTGTCCTGGCCATTAGATTCTGGGTTCTCCCAGAGCCCTTCGGGGTCAGCAAGTAGAGTGGTAATAGGTTTCTTTCCTGGAAGCCAAAGGCCAAGGTTTGAGGCTCAGCTCTGCCCTTCGTAGCTGTGTGACTGCAGGTGAGTTTCTTACCCTCGCTGAGCCCCATTTTTCATACTTATAAAGCAGTGTAACATGAGAGAAATAGAACCAAATCTCACAAAGTCATTATTAGGACAATGGGGGATGGAATCTGTGTTGGTGTTGGAGCAATACCTGGCACTTGGTCAGTGCTGAGTATGTGGCTGCTGTTATTATCATGATATTATCAGCCCCTTCTTGCAAATGAGGAAACTGGCTCAGGGAAGTCATTTCCCCAAGGCCACATAGATTGGAAGTAGCAGATCCGGGAACTAAAAACCACATTTTCAGGCTAAATAAGGGCCATTTATGAAACACCCGCAGAATGTACCATGGGGCAGAGGACTGTTGACCCCAAAGAACTATTGACTAGGATGTTTGTAGAACCTACAGATGCCTGGGCCTTAGCCTGGCCTTGAATGAGAAGCTCAGGGGTAGGCGTACAAATCCCTTTATAGACTCCCTACATTACTCTAACGTAGGACCCAGTTGAAAATCACTAGACTCTGGGACTAGAGTGTCAGACGGAAGGGTGTAAACAGGATGCCAGAGAGAGATACAGAAACTTAAAGCCATAGGATGCCAAAACTGGAGGGAGGCAGGGGGATCACTGAGGCTCTCATTTCACAGAGGGGACACTGAGGCCCGAGAGGGGACTTGGCAGGTCTGAGGGCCCACAAAAGTTAGCAGCAGAGTGGCCTCCCAGCTGTCTTGGCCTCCAAGCCGCAGACAGCCCCTCCCTCCTCTGGGGCTATGTGTGGAAGGGAGCCCAGCCTGGCTGCCTGATTTCTGGCAGACTGAATGTGTGAGTTTTTCAAATGGCTTTGACTTTTGAGTCCATTAGTGATTAATTCAGAGTTCCATTTAGAGCCGGCTGATCCATATTTGGAGGAGGAGAACATTTTGTGGCCGCAAAGATGCAGCCACGATTCATCTGCGGGCAGCCCGCCCACTCAGCAGCCTGGGAAGGCACGAAGTCCGGGCAGGGCCCTCCCTCCAGCACCTCCCAGGGGGCTCTGCAGGGGCTGGAGCTGAGACTCTCTCACCTGGGAGAAGGATGGACCTTTCATGTGTGGGTAGCACAGCCCAAAGAACCTGGTTTGGGGTTCAGTCCTCCATTTGTCTCTTCCCAGCTCTATGACCTTGGGCATACCCCTTAAACTCTCTGAGTCTCAGTTTACCCACGATGGAAATGATCGCCCCTATACTCTCCCTCGGGGGTTGTTGGGAAGATTCAGGGAGATGATGTGTGTGAGCGCACCCAGCACATGAGTCTGGTCACGAGAGTGTGGTGGCAAAGGCAGGGGCATTCCTTCTCTTTCCCTCAGCAGTCCCGCCATCTCCCTTCTTCTGGGGAAAGAGCTTTAGTGACTACGTCTCTGGCTTTTAACACTCACCACAATGTGACTTTAGGCAAATTAACTTACCTCCTTGACCTTCAGTTTCCTCATCTGGAAAGAGGTCATGGTCCCTTCCTTGCAAGATTGTCATGAAAATGGCCAGAGGTTGGCAGCACATAGCAGGCACTCCCCACAGCTCCATAGCAAGGACAGTAGACAGTAGGCCTGAGTGCAAGCCATAAGGGTGCATTGCCTTAGGGGATTTTTAAAAATTAATAAAATGTAATTTTTATTGAAAATTGGTCTTACCAAAAGTCGATCTGCTCACACCAGCAATTCTAACAATGACAGTGACAAAATGTGTCTTTTGCCTGGGTCTTCTTTTGCCTCCCACTGCCCCTGCCCCTTATTGGCCACTGGATGCTTTAGCAGTGACAGCTTTGCTTCCTTGTTGTTGACCTGTGGTGCCACTGCCCCTCCCTGCTGCCAAATACCTTCCTTAGAGAATGCCTCCCCCAACCCATTCCAGACCCTGCTTCCCAAACTGTATGGCTTTTAGTGACAGACTAGGGACCCCTTCGAAAGTGGGCAGTCACAGTGCTCTCCCATTCCCATCTGTCAGGCCTTTGCAGCGGTTGGCACAATACCATTTGAGAGGGACCATCTCCCATTGAACACAGTCAGGATCTGACCCTGGCTTGTCTGCTAGGAGAGGTCCAACAACTTGTCCCAGGTCACATAGCTAGAGGTGAAGAAATAAGATCCAAGGGGTCTGGCAGACTCTGCCAGCATCCCAACAGGAAAGAGGCAACACACTCAGCCAGGATCTTTGAAGGCACCTTGTAGTAAAGGAACCCTCAGGAGACCAGGGAAGCATTGGGCCAGTCTGGACTGCCACTAGGCCTGAGGTGCCCAGTGAAAAGCTGGAGCTGTGGAAGCTGGCTACTCGGCTGCAAGAGAAGGGACACAGAGGCTGCAGAGTCGTGCAAGGCTGGACGGGAGGGGAAGATAAATCCTGACCTTTCTGTTGTATCTCTGGTCTCCTGCTGGTGCTTTCCTTGGGCCAAAGCTGTCTAGAAGACAGTGGGAATGCCTCCCAGGGCACAGAGGAGGGGTCTGGGCAGGGTGCTGGGCAAACAGAATCTCAACTTACTTTCTTTCTACCCTCCCATGGCTGGGATCTGAAGGCTGTTTTCCTAGTCAGTGAGCTGTGACATGGTGAGTGGCTGGATGGGGTCCTGGGAGCCCCTTGGCATCATCAGGGCCCTGGGAGGGCCTGCTGCTCTATCTCTGAATCTCTGCCTATGAAATCACCCTCCAAAGTCTTCACTTATTCATGTGTCCCCCCATTCCACTAATCAGAAGCTCAGGGGAGTCACTCACTCCTGAGTATGAATTAGTTCCATCAGATTACTTGCCTCCAGGCACTCAGCTGACTAAAGGAGGGAGAGGTAGTTTTGGACCATGACGAGGACCATAAGGGCAGGCCTGGGTCAGGTTAGCTGGCTCCCACTACCACAGGAGAGGAATACAGATAGAGAGGGAAGGCCAGGGATCTCCTCCAAGGCCCTATGTAATACAAGAGCTCTTATATGCCATATACTTTGCTGACATGTCTTTCATTTACCTCCCCTCACTTCATCCTCACAAATGTGTGAGGGGAGATGTATTACACCCAGTGCAAAGATGAGGACACTGAGGCTCAAGTGGATTCAGAGCCTTGCTCAAGACTACCAGACTACTTTTTTTGAATGTTCTTTTCTTTTTAAGATGTGGGGTACAATTCAGGGTTAGGTATACAATGTTCATTATGCAGGTACCCTTGTTGATAGGTGTACCTCCCCCTCCGTTGGCAGTTTCCCACTACTGACAATCCCTTTCTTATAGTATTATGATAGTTGTTCAAGGTCGGCTTATGTCTACCAGACTATTAAGTGACAGAGTCAGGATTTCAACTTAGAACTGTCTAGTTCTAGAGACTTATTTTTAATTTTTAATTTTTAAGACAGTATCTCACTCTGTCATTCAGGTTCGAGTGCAGTGACATGAACATAGTTCACTACAGCCTCTACCTCCTGAGCTCCAGTGATTCTCCCTCCTCAGCCTCCTGAAAGCTGGGACTACAGGGGCTCACTACCACACTCAGTTAAGTTTTTAAAAAATTTTTTGTAAAGATGAAGTCTCATTATGTTCCCCAGGCTGGTCTCCAACTCCTGGAGTCAAGCAATCCTCCTGCCTCAGCCTCCCAAAGTGCTGGAATTGCAGATGTAAACCAGCATGCCTGGCCCCAGCATGTATTCAACCAGCTTGTAGTTACCCCACAATCCACCACTCAGCCCCCTCCTCCCCACCACACACACACCTCACAGCACTTCACTCTCCTTCACACTGAACTACTACAGCCCCCCAAGAGAGCTATCATTCTTGTCCTCTATCCAAATAATGAAACAGGCTCAGAGGGGATTGCCCAAGGTAATACAACCCTGCTATACAGCAGAGCACGATCTGACATCCCAGCCTCTGGGGTTCAAAGCCACTACTTTCTCCTCTCTACTGAGTGCCTTGGTTGCTGGTCCTGCAGACTCAAGAGCCTGCTGGTGGGCAGGGACCTGTGTCCAGGATAGTACAAGAGGGACAGAGGATGATGGTCATCCCCTCTTGGCTTGGGGCAGAGCTCTCTCCTATCCTCTTCTCAGGGGACATACTGCAATTTCACCCTCTGTCTCTCACTTTAATCAGAGTCCTCTGGGCTGGTGAGGGGGCCTACAGGGAGAAATATTGACAACAGGGATAATTAGGAAGACCCCTCAGTTCACAATCTACTGGAACCAGCTTGCTGCAAGGCTGTGTGGCTTGCTGGCTGCAGGCAGCTGGGTTCTAACCTTGGCTCCCCCAGGTCCACCAAATGACCTGTTTTCTCCAAGCTGAGGATGCAGCTGGGCAGATGGCCAGAGGTGCAGACGTGGCTTCCCCAAGACTCTGCTGGTTTCTTCATCTGTAATGGGGTGCTGGAACCAGTGATGACAGAAGCCCCTTCAGCACTGACATTCTATAACTAGCACTTGTAGAGGGCGCTCCAGGCCACAGAGCACGTTCACTACCTTTCCTTGCACCTGTCTTGTCTCTGCAACCCCCATAGTGTGCCAGGCATACAGGAGGTCCCAGAGATGTTTCTAGGGGGTGGAAAGATATATCACTGCCTTTTCTGTGCCAGTCAATCCTGAGTCCTCTTCTCCCAAAGAGACATCCTGCCCCCTCACGTCGTCTCCTTTCCCCAGTTCATGTGGTCTTCGTGACTCTCTCCTTAGCATCCACGACACCTTCCTGAAGCTCTGTCCTCCTGGGAAGTGTTACAAGGAGGTGACACTGACCATGGACCAGATCAGCTCCCTGCCAGCCCTGCGGGTGAGTCCAGAAGAGTGGGCAGGGCAAGGGCAGTGTCCTGACCCCCTGATGGTGTCGGGGGTGGGGGTGAGGCAGGCACTCAGTCACCACACTCCAAGAGGTTCTTGACCCTCCAGGCAGAGGGCCCAGCAGGCCATGGGCCACTTCCCGTGCACATCTGGCCTCCCTCCATCTTGTCCAGGCAAGGACAGAAGCAGAGAGGGCATGAGACTTGCTTTGGGCCTCATAGGGGAAGGCGGTGGCCCCAACTGGAGGCTTTCACTGGCCCTGCTGAGCCTCCTCTGAAGTATCCCTGTAATCTGTGATCTTTTAGACATCAGGTTTTGGTCTGCCCTACCACTGTCTGCTCACTGTCAGTTCCCCTGCTATCTGTCATGAGCCAAGCTGGGGCAAGTGGGCCTTGGGAAAACCAGGGTGCCACCTCAGTCATCTGCCCATCCCCTCACCCTTCTTCTCATCTGCTCAGGCTGCCTCAGTGGACTGGAACTTTTCTAGAGGGACAATTAATTTTCTCTGGTTTCCCCTGAGACTTGCAGCCCAGGGACTGTCTCCCCAACCTGCTTTCTTCCATCTCCAGATGTGACTCCAGGGAAAGAAGATATTTTCATGTCTGCTCTTTCTCTCTCTCTCTCTCTCTCTCTCTCTCTCTCTCTCTCTCTCTCTCCATTTAGCCAACCATCTCTGAACCAAAGGTTCAAGGTTCCTGTTAAACACAGGGCTGGGTCTAATGCTCATACCCCTTCCTGCTTTCACTCACTTTTCCTGGGCTGAATCCCACATCTCACACATTCATAACACACACACACACACACACACACACACACACACACTTACCCTTTCTGTGGGTAAGTTCTTGGCAAACCACATCCCTGGTCTCAGTTTCCTCATCTGTAACATGGGTGGAGTGGTGAGGAAGGCTGAGGGTTTCCCATGCTCTCTAAGATGACCGGCACCTTAACAGGTGGTGCTTGCATAAGCTGTTGGTGCTCCCCCCACCTCCCAATCCTTTAGGGCAGTCAGTGGTCTCCAACCTTTTTTGGCATCAGGGATTAGTATCATGGAAAACAGTTTTTCCATGGATGGATACAAGCGGGGAAGGACATGCAGTCAAACCTCACATTGCTAATGTTAATCTGTACTTGCAGCTGCTCCCCAGTGCTAGCATCACTGCCTCAGCTCCACCTCAGATCAGCAGTAATGCTAGCGATAGGGAGTGATTGTAAATACAGATGAAACTTTACACTCACCTGCAGCTCACCTCCTGCTATGTGGTCCAGTTCCTAACAGGCCATGGACCAGTACCGTTCTATGGGGGCTGGGGACCCCCTACTTCAGGGACAACCATTGGAGGGCTTTGCCCCTGTTATATAGAGGCCCTGCCCCTCCTCCAGGGCCACCTGGAAAAGCCCAGAGGCACGCCATAAAACCACTCCAAAATCACTCCTGAGATTTTAATTAAAATTTGTGCAGCACACAGAGAGGCAATGTCAGGTTAACAAATCATGGCCACGTCAGGCTTCCCTATTTTTCATTCGGATCTTAACAGAATAATGATTTGAGTTTGTCATTGTGCAATGAGAGCCTGTCATCATTTCTGTCTGGAACAAGGTGGGCTCTGAGAACTGTGGGACCTCTTGGAAGAGGCCCGGGGACTCCCAGGAAGAGAGGGCCAGCTTGGAAGGAGGGACATGTCGGGGCACACGCATGGTCATTCAACCAACAGCTGCACAGCCCCTCCCAATGAGAGGTTTTGCTCTAAGACAGAGACAAAGAAAAAGCACAAAGCTGGGGCTTGCAACAGAGGCAGGAATGGAGAAGGCAAAACAATGAGAAAGGGTGAGCAGTGGGTAGCAGGGTGGAGGTAGCAGATAGAAGCTGTGGTCGTGGAGTAGAAAGAAATTGAATCCTCAGAAAGATGAGCTAATTGGAGACCATGCCTGTGCCTAGAAGTAAAAAACGGAAGCCTATGTTTCTGACACCCCCTACTCACACTCACCTCCATGTCCCCAGTTCACACACGAATGCCTCCACCCACAGCCACACACCTAGCATGCATATATGCACGTGCTTCAACACACGTACACACGGGGACTTCTCTCACACCTAGACCCTCCACGAAAGGACCCAGGGCCAGGGACGGCCAGAGAGACAAGGCTGATGGAAAACTTCAGACCTCCCCTGGGTGGGGAGCAGTGTCACTGGTCAGCCTCAGACACTCTGAATGTCAAGTCTGAAAGAAAACTTAGAGACCATTCAGTCTAGTCACTCACATGCTCCTCACCCTGGAGAAACTGAGGCCCCAAGAGGGAAACAACTTGACCAGGGCCACATGATGGCAGAGCCCAGACCAGCCCCTACTCGGTGGGGAGTCAGCCAGGACTCCAAACCAAAGCGACGGCCCCCACTTCTAATGAGGGCTTGGCCTGCTCGAGCACAGACCCTGCACCTGGGCCTACCAGGTACTCTGGGGGTTCAAAGGGAGTACCTGGCAAAGACCTGCCCTGGAGGAGTGGCCTGGAGGGTGGGGGTGACCCGTGGTTCTGACACACTCTTCTCTAGTAGCAGTCTCGTCCAAGCAGGGCATGGAGGCTCTGTTCTGAGCACCAAGGGAGCACTCACCAGACTGGATCACACTCCATGTTTGTTACATCCCCCATCTATAAATAAGCATGCAAACCTTGTGCTGGGCAAGGGACCAGCAGGGGTGAGGCAGCATCCTCTGCACCTCCTTATGCTCCCCACCCACTCCTCTCTTCCATCTCTGGGTGGGGAGGCCAATGAGATGGAGATGAGTGAAGCAAGACTTGAGAAGACCAGGGGAGTCCCAGATGGTTTGAGGCCTGCTCTTCCCTGGGACAGGCCAGGGGCACAGGGCATGGCTAGGATCTAAAGCCTTTTTGGCACCTTAGACCCAACCCCCACCCATCCCCAGAGCTTATTCATTGGAGAGTGGCTGGAAAGCAGCATCTTGGGCCACATGACTTTAATTTTACTTTTCTTATTTAATCTTTCTAAATGGTCAACATTCTATTCTATTATCCAAATAAGAGCCACTTCACTATAGAAAAACTGGAAAACACAGAAAAGCAAAAAAATAAGATAAAAATCATCTAACCCACCTCAAGGGATGACAGCTGTGACCATTGTGGCGTATTTCTTTCCGGACTTTTTTCTCTGCTGATATATCGTACATGTTTATTGGGATCCCATTGACTTTTTTATATGTTGCTTTCTTTTCTTTTTCTACATTGGTTTCTTGGTTGCTTTTCCAACTGGTCTCTGACAGCCAGAACCACCTCATGAGCTGAGGACCCTGAGCCATTGCCTCATCCAGAGAGCTAGGGGACAGGGCACCCAGCCAGGCAAGGAAGAACTAGGTTTGAATTCACTTGCTAGCCACATGATCTCAGGCAAATCACTTCACAAAAGGAATAATTGGGGTGAGGCAAAGGGAAACTTACCCTGTCAAAGGCGACAGGGTGAGAAGGGTAGGGCGTGGAACCCATGTTCCTGCCCATGGACGTCATCCTTGGAAGAGGAAAGGCCTCTCTCCAGGTGGTCCCAGGCATAGGTCCAGGCACAAGGGCAGTGCAGGTTTCTCAACAATACAAAACACTTCCTAATTGCCAGAGCTGTGTGTGGAGGGAATGAGCTCCCTGTTCCTGAAGGGATGTTCCAGCATACTTAGTTATCAGAGGGGGATTAGACTGACCTGCTAGTGCCTCCTCACCCCGAGTCTGTGGTGCTGGCCCTAGAGCTTGGCCCTATTCTCTACCACAATATGTCCCAGATTTTTTATTTCCAAAAAAAATTTCAGCGGGGAAGAAGGGACTAGAGATACCAACTTTTAGTTTTGCCAAGTAAGGACATTAAAAAAAAGTCATCCACAATCACTACCATTTTTTAAATGTTAATTTTAAAACAAAAATGTAAGAAGCAAAGCACCAAATCCCAAAAGCAAGAACAATTTTTTCCATACACAACTCTCTTTTTTTTTTTTTGAGTCAGAGTCTCACTCTGTCATCCAGAATGGAGTGCAGTGGCATGATCACAGCCACTGCAGCCTCAACCTGTTGGGCTCAGGCGATCCTTCCACCTCAGCCTACCAAGTATAAGCACACGCCACCACACCTGGCTAATTTTTAAATTTACTATAGAGACAAGATCTTGCCAAGTTACCCAGACTGGTCTTGAACCCCCGAACTCAGGCAATCCTCTCACTTCCACCTCCCAAAGTGCTGGGATTACAGGCATGAGCCACTGCACCCAGCCCATACATACCTCTTTGTCCTTATTTTTCTCCCTTTGTCACTGACCTATCCCTAAGTCCTCAGACTAGATGCTGGGGACTTGGACATCAGAATGTAGGTTCCTTCTGTGTCTTTCTGATCCTAGACAAAGCAGAAAGTTTGCTTCCCAAAGTGAGCAAGGAGAGCCTTGCTGGGAGTTGGGTCCCCAGGATGGGAGCTGCGTGACTCACATTGCCCAGAACACATCTCTGAAATAGGCTTTGAGAACTGGGCCCCAGGGAGTTCCGGGTACTGATATAACTTGGCTCAGGGGCTTGAGTGGTCTGGGAAGAAAGTTATGTTTTCTTAACTTGGGTTCATTTGTAGAAAAAGTGGACTTCTTAATACTGGGAAAGGTCTGCTCATCTGCAGAGAACAAGGTGAGAGAGAGAACATCCCGTGTAGCAGAGGTAGCGGGGAAAGTCTGCAGACCAGAATGCTTTGCTGGGTCAGGACACGGTGCCCTCTTTCCAGTTAGAAGTTGCTGTTTTCTTTTTGTCTGCTGTATTTGCTGTACTTAAAAGTATATTAGCTCAATGTTTCTGTTCTTGTAAATAACGATCTTGCTTTCTGTAAATACAGATAAGTGAGGCATAGTGTGCTTTGGGTTTCTAGTTTCTGGGCCCAGAGCTGTCTTGGTGTCTACTTGGGATGGCTCGTAGCAGGGCCTGAGGGAAGATCTTCGAGCAGGTGGGGTGGAGGCCTGCACAC